ATAAGTGTGTTTTGACAAAAATGGACTTGTGTGAAGAACTTCTTCCTTCTACTCTTCTTATTACTCTTTCATAAATTATTTTAGGTCTAGCTTGGGATCAATTCATTTTAAAATAATATTGTTCGTATAATTTGTAAGTTATATTACTAAGTTTAGTTATAAACTAATAAGATTGTATCTAATAGACCACTGAACTTTTGGTCCCGATATTTTTTTTGTTTATTTTAGTCTTTATACTTTGAAAATGTTCATTTTAGTCCATAACAGTTTTATCATTTTAGTATTCCATGCAAAATTTTAATACAAATTTTATACCTAACGAAAAYGCTTTATTATAAAGTAATATTTACATTTTAAGAAATATATTGATTGTGATGCTTTGTCGAAATTGCGATAAAAAAATTAGATTAAAAATAAAATGAATGAATAAAAATAGTCACCGTACATCACTAAAATGAACATTTAAAAAATACAAAGAACTAAAATGATCCAAAATTTTAYGGGGGCATTTGCGTCAACGATGCAGTGTGAACGTGGCAGAAGATGACGGGCGAGCCACATTCCAAATTTGTATAGTGCCAGTTCCCTTGTTGCCCAGCTGCGCCTTGACCTACAATTTTCCCTTATTTAGCTTTCTTTTATATTTCCAAATATTACTCTTTTTAGGTTTAAATTTAATTCTGGTCCATCAATTTCGGAAAGATATATTTTAGTCTTTTTTGCAAATTTAAAAAATARTTATTTTGATTTTGCTATTTTATTTTTGCACCTAATATCCACTCGTTGAGGATTCACCTCCAATCAATTTAGTTGAAATATATGCTCATATTATTAGGTTGGTACGAAACTATGTCATTGTTAAGAAAAATAAATGTAAAGTTTAAAATTATTATATTTTTAAAGTTCATCAATTATAATATAGATTTTAAAAGTTGAGAGACCATGATAAAACAAATTTAAAAGTTCATRGACTAAAATAAATTTAAGATGTATTAATATAATTATTATATTTATTATCAATATAATAAGGGTGTGAATTTGAATCGAAAAAAAATTATTATTGATTTTTTAATTAAGATATTGGAGAATGAAGATTTTAACCTTGGACCTACACAAAATATTACTGATGTTTTTTGTGGCTGAATGTTGCGCTAAAAGTCAAACTTTTTAATTATGATTTTATMTAATCCTTTGATATTAGTTTCAATGTAGTTCTTATGCTTCTTTTAAAAAATTATTATGACTACTAGTATAATCTAATATAACAAGTTGCCATGCTATATTTAATAGAAATTTAGTTTAATATAAATAAAGCTATGGTAGTTTTTATTCTCGTACGACAAATTAATTATTTATCAATGATTTGAATTATTCTCTTCATTTGTAGATTTGGACCTAACGGGTGGTTATCACTATTAATTAGAGAGAAAATGACAAAGTTTTGTTCTAATACCAACACTGAATCTAAATGTTTAAATTGATGAGTTACAATAAATTTAATTATTTATCAATATTTTAACAMCATAAACCTAAAGTTTTGAATCTTTTGATATATTATTTATATTAAACTAATATTTTTGTCAACTAAGTTGGTCCTATGCAACAATTAAATACTAGTTCATATTCACCTTGTACAGTGTGCTTTGCCCAATCATTTCAAAAAGGTTAATTAGAATATTTCTTTAAATAATTATAATTGAAGTTTAGTTTTCGAGAATTTCTATGATTGGACATGAATATCCAAATTGTAAACTTTAAGAAATTTAGGAACCAAACCATATGTAGAGATCATTTTTACGTTTGGTTTCCCCCCTCGAATTGTCAATATAAACATTTTGAAAAAACAAGAATTATGAACTAATTAGATTTATTTACTCTGTCGGACAAATATTTCTTTAGATTTAAACATGTAAATGGACTTTCGAAATTATAGTCATTACACTTTTAGATTTATTTAAATTTACTAGTTTACTTTTCAAAATGGCCACAATTTTTTGCAATAATGGTCTAAAGTCTATAGTAGACCACAACTACGTTAATGGTAGTTTATACTATAGACTATAGTACCTTAAGATATGATCGAAAAAATATAGTTTATTATGATAAATTAGTCATAAAATAAATATTTTGAATGTAATTGACTTATATCTCCAATACAATAAGAGATTGTGAGTTTGATCCCGAATATTGTATTAAATAAAGTCATTTTGAAATTCCAAGACAAAACCGGTAATCCTTTTAATTAATTACTATGGATGAGAGATAAGACGATGAGGCCAAGAAAAGCAAAAAAGGAAAGAAAAAAAAATGGGAATGGAATGTGGAACTAAAAAAGGGGTTGAATTATATGATTGGAAGGCGTGTGAACTGAGCGACTTCTCCTGAGTGGGAATTCCACAATACATAAATCCAATTGCCCACCCAATTTATAAAATCCACCCATTCCTTCAGATTCAGTCCCCACCGCCGCCCACCACCGCCACTGCCACCGTCGATTTCACACTCTCTCTCGATCTCTTCAAATCCACTCCCTCCCTCTCTCTCTCTGCATTATTCGTTTCTTCAAATCTCGAGAATTTGAATTCCTAAACCACTTTCTAATTGTCTTTTCTTTCCCTCTCTCTCCCTCGGCGCTATGGTGGCCGGAGCAAGAGGCGCCGGCGTCGGCGTGGTGGCGTTAACGGTGGTGGTATTAGGGATTCAGATTTGTTCGGCGCAGATTACCAGAAGCGGTTTTCCGAGCGGATTTGTTTTCGGGACTGCTTCCTCTGCTTTCCAGGTTCCACTTTTACCCTCTTCCTCTTCTTCTTTTCGCCTATTATAATTTATAGAAACAATAATATATATATATATATATATATATATATATATTATATTATATTCGCCTATTATAATCTCGTACTTTAGATTACTTGATATCAGGATGGATCATGCAAGCAAAATACACTGTATTAAGTTGGTGAAAATAGCCGGTTATTTGAAATTTAACATTAAATTTCTTCAATTGTTTCTGAAATCATATTCAAAACTTCAGAAATGATTATAGAACGACAAAATAAATAGGGTTAATTTGTAATTGTCACCACATTTAAATACAATATAAAGCCTTTATTCCAAAAAAATAAAAAAATAAAGCTTTTTATTCGATAGAATTATCTGACGTGGGATGGGGGCAAATGGGACATTTTTTGTTTTTGTTTTTTTTTTTTATTTGAAATTCTGTTTTTGTTCTTTAGTCATTAATTATAGCGATTTATAATATTATATATACGCAATGATGGAGAAAACGGGTAGACTACCGAAGTTACCGATTCTGTCCTTTCCAAATCTTCCACTGAAATTGGAACTGCGTCGTTTTAATTTCAATTAATCTCTCTTAATTATGAAATGTTTAAATAAGATTTAAAAACTTGAGAATAAATATTTGTTCAAGTAACCACTTTTTAAGGAGTTAGTTTTGTTTTATTTTGTTTTCTTGCACGACTTAACTTTTACTTGCTTTAATTTGTTTTGTTTGTAACTTTTAATAAATTCAAAGTGCATGATGTTCTTAAAAACAGTTTTGAACAAACAAAAGCTTTTGTTAACAACCAAACGTTCTCTGATTTTATAATTTATAAATTTTATCAGAATCTCGATAACTTTTTTAAAATAAAAACTAGACTTATGAGTCTCACTTTTATCAAAAATAAAAAAATAAATAAAGGTTTCATATCTGAAAATAATTTTTAACCCTTTTTTTTTAGTCAAATAAACTGATTATGATCACAAAACATTAAGGTTTAAATTTTATTTTAATCACAAAAAGTCATTGGATTAAACTTAATATTTTTCTTTAATATTTGAAGAGTACATGAAAGATCCTATTAGTCTCAATGTTTAATATTCTTCTATAAATTATGCAATAGGCCAAAATATATAAGTTTTACTTTTTTTTTTCTTTTTGATAAAGTACAATCCTAATATTCTCTTCTACTTTTAATCTAGTCTCTATTGTTTCTAAATTTTCAATTTAATCTTCAATATTTAATAAATTGACGGAAATTTAGAAAATATAAAAAGGATTATCAGAGAAAAAATCGAAATTTCTACCAATTTATTAAAAATTTAGATGATGAATTAACTTTCATTTCATAGATGATATATTTCTTCATTTAGTATTATCTTTTTTTGTCAATTTTCACTAAATATTATAAGTTTGTCATCAGCTAAATTTAACATTTACCAACTATAAATAATTAGATTGAAAAATATAAAAATATAAAGGACTAAATTAAAAAAAAAATATAAATCATCAAGACTAAAATGAAAAAAGATCCAAACATTAAAGACTAAAACATAGTAAAAAGAAAAAGAAGATTAAAACATATATTTAGACTCTCCATCGGTTCAATAAAAATGGAGGTGCACATATTCTTTAAATTTAAAATACAAGTGAAATTATTAAAGTAAAAAAAATGAAAGAAAAAATGAAATTAAAGGAGCAATTAGGGTGCAATTGAATAGCTTTTGGGCACTATGTGAATGCAGTATGAAGGCGCTGTAAAGGAGGACGGAAGGGGACCCACAGTTTGGGACACATTTTCCCATACATTTGGTAATTCTTTTTTAAAAATTTTCTACAAAATTTGATTTTCGTTAAATACTAATTAATTAATTTATTTTTATTGTGGTTGTAAATTATGAATTACGAATGGTGCTTGCAGGAAAGGTGCTTGATTTCAGTAATGCAGATGTTGCCGTGGACCAGTACCACCGTTACCCGGTAACCATCTTTTCTTTATTTCTTTATTTTTTAACTTTTTGAAGAAAATTGAGAGAAAAAGAGATTAAATGAATAAATAAAAATTGGAAACAGGAAGACATTAAACTCATGAAGGATATGGGTATGGACGCCTACAGATTCTCCATTGCCTGGTCTCGAATTTTCCCAAGTAAATTCTCTCTCCCCTTTCTTTTTAACTTTCTCACCTCTTTTAACACTTCAGACTTATTTATTTTAAGTCTTTGTTTTATTTTTATTTTTAATCTCATTTTTTTCCATCACAATTTTCAACGTCATGTTGGTTGATTATATTTATTTAAATATAATCATAATTTTATATTAAAGAGTTTTTTATTGGATATAAAATTTGTGTTAAAATTTTACGAATAGAGAACAAAATGACTATTAATACAAAACTATAATCAACATCTTAACTTTTTTTTTTTTTAATTTAGTTTCTATATTTCTCTTATTATTATTATCTTTCTTTACTGGATCAGTCCAGTCTGATTATTTATTTATTGTTTTAACGTGATGGAATATTTGGCTTTATGATATATAAGTATTGTAGGTTATAATGATTGTAATATATATATATATATATTATATATATCTTTAGCCGAGTCTATTAGAAAATAGGATGGAGGTTAGAGCTGGATTAATGTGCACTTTTTTATTCATTCAATTAAAAAAATTTATTTTGTTCTAAATATATAATTTACCATATAATATTTAGGTGTTTTTCAAATTTCTCCCTAATATTTTAAAAGTTATAATTTTATTTTGAAAAATTATAGTGGAAGGTAATTTAAATTGCCATATTATATTGAAATAGAATTATAATTTTACAAACATACTAATTAAAAAAGTGCTTATTTAGTCGTTTTATGTAATTCTATTTTTATCTTTATATACATGACTCGTATAGTCCATCATTTATAGACATTTCAATGCCTATTTTAGTAATTTTCGGAAGTGGATTTGAGCTGGATTAAAAGGCTTCTGGAAAACAAATAATCAAATTGAAATTGAAATGGAAAATACACTGGGACTAAAACTATAATTTAAGAAAAACAATTTGTTCTGTGATTATTGCCAATAATTTGGTTTTTTTATATGTAATTTCCATTAATATATCTGGATCAGCTTGTAGTTGGCAGTTGAGTGTAGTCAACTTCTACCGGTTCTCACTGCAATGGCAATTCAATAAAAAGATTATGAAATATTTTCAGAAAGAAGCTTGGAATTTTGATGTATTTTGGTTTTGATCAGATGGAAGTGGAGAGATCAACCAGGCTGGAGTTGATCACTACAACAATTTCATCAATGCTTTGTTAGCCAATGGTATGTAATCTCTTCATCTTCATCTTCATCTTCATCTTCATCTTCATCTTCATCTTCATCTTCAATGGCTGAAACTGCAAATCTTTCTTCAAACAGGAATTCAACCCTATGTCACTCTCTACCATTGGGACCTTCCTCAAGCCCTAGAAGACAAATACAACGGCTGGCTGAACCCCCAAATCATGTAATCCCTAACCCCAACCCTAATTTTCTTCCCGTTTCTTCAGCGATTTCAATTCGCATCTTCCAAATTGCAGAAACGATTTCGCTCTGTACGCCGAGACGTGTTTTCAGAAGTTCGGCGATCGGGTGAAGCACTGGATTACGTTCAATGAGCCGCATACGTTCGCTACCCAGGGCTACGATGTCGGTCTCCAGGCGCCGGGCCGCTGCTCAATTCTTCTCCATGTTCTCTGCCGGAGTGGAAATTCTGCAACCGAGCCTTACATTGTCGCGCACAATGTTCTCTTATCTCACGCCGCCGTCTCCGATATTTACAGAAGAAAGTACAAGGTAAAAACCCTAACGAGATTTTGATCGATTTTGAGATTGGAACATTTTGATAACGGGTGTAAAATTTGGGGGTTTATGCAGCGTACACAGAGGGGAGTGATTGGGATCTCGCTCGATGTTATCTGGTTCGAACCAGGTTCGAATTCCACCATTGACATTCAAGCAGCCCAAAGAGCTCAAGATTTTCAGCTTGGATGGTGATGACTTGATGAACAAGAACAACGCATTTTGAATTTCTTCCAACTTTCTGTTAAAGTTAATTCACTTTCAGGTTTCTCAATCCGTTGATCTTTGGCGACTATCCGAGCTCCATGAGAAGCAGAGTCGGCGGGCGGCTGCCGACGTTTTCCCGGCAGCAGGCGGCTATGGTGAAAGGGTCTCTGGACTTCGTTGGCATAAATCACTACACCACATTTTACGCTTATCACAACAGCACAAACATTATTGGGGTTGCCCTGAATGACTCCATTGCTGATTCTGGTGCCTTCACCGTTCGTAAGAACTCTCAATGAACACCACTCTTTCGAAACATCCCGATATATTGGAATCGGAATTTGTAGTTTACCCTTTTTAATTCTCTCCCATGATTCTGTTTCTTGTTTATGCAGCATTCAAAGGGCTGAAAACCATTGGAGAAAGGGTATGGTGCAGTGCAGCTCCTATAGAAAAACAAGGTCTCTCTCTGCATACCATAGATCCTAATCGATTTCCAATCCTGTTTCTTTGATGAACTTGCAGGCAAGCTCTATATGGTTATACATAGTTCCTCGTGGGATGCGAAGTTTGATGAATTACATCAAGAACAACTACGGGAACCCACTAGTGATGATTACTGAAAATGGTAAACACAGCTTCAAAGTTCAAAAACACAACAAATTTTAACAAAAAGTAAAGATCTGACTCTGTTTTTGGGTTATAACAGGGATGGACGACCCAAATGACATATTTAAACCAATCAAAGAGGCACTGAAAGATGAGAAGAGGATCAGATACCACGATGGCTACTTGACAAACCTTTTGGCGGCCATCAAGTGAGTTCTTCTTCTTCTTCTTCTTCTTCTTCTTCTTCTTCTTCTTCAGTGGCAATGGTTAATTTGTTTGTGACCATGAAATCTGGTTGTGTGCAGGGAAGATGGATGCAACGTGAAAGGGTATTTCGTTTGGTCTCTGTTGGATAATTGGGAGTGGGCGGCTGGTTTCAGTTCAAGGTTTGGCCTTTACTATGTTGATTTCAGGGATAAGCTGAAGAGATACCCCAAGGACTCGGTTCAATGGTTCAAGAATTTCTTGGCTTCTTAGTTGGTTCTTACAAGTTGGAGAATCTGAAAGAAGGTTAATGCCACAGTTTGATGTTTATATTTCTTGTTAGAAGTGGATGCATGATTTTCGTAACTTTCCTTATTGTGCCTTTAATTTCTGCTGATAAACGTAAAAACTTTAGTAAATCTATATGTATGCATCATCACAGGAATATATTTCTAGTTGAACTTTCAAGTTCTAATTTTGTCAACTTGGATCATCTGACTTTGAATAAGTGGAGAAGAAAATATCTTTTGCTGTTTTTTTTTTCTAATTTTTTTGGCAACATGAGGTGACTCAATTAAAGATACAAAATTGAAGATTTTTTGTATTTTTGTATATCTTTTTTTGTTCTTCTTCTTCGCTTGGGCCACTTATTTGATTTGATTTTTTTATTCCACCATGTATGAGTGGAGATTTGAATTTTCGACATTTTGATTGAGAATATACATATTAACCAATTTTCAACTATGCTCCGAATGACCTTATTTGATTGTAATATGATTATTTGAATTGGGGAATGGAATTTGATAATTAATTAATGATTTTATAAAATACTTAAAGATGATTTTTAAAGAATATTAGTCCACATGAGCCTACTTTAACTGATTAAGACATTTACTATAATAGGATAATAGTAAATAAATAAAATAGAAACAAGTGACACCTTTTTCACATGTCATGTATGTATGTATAGGTAATAATTTTTTATTTAAACATCCAGCCTCCTAAGTAAATACTTTTAATGTTAAAACTATGCTCGTATAGATTTTTTTCCCCTTGTTCGCATAACATTCAACACTGTCCCAAAATGTTTTATTTATATCATATCTAAGAAAGTAACATTTAACAACGTTCTCATAATGTTCTCATAGAATTAAGCAAACAACTATTTAAATATTTTTAATTTTAACTCTTTGTATAATGTAACATATTAGAAGGTTATTTCAAAACAAATATTAAGAAGAGACGAGGTGCATCAAGCCGCGCCAATTTGATGATTAGGATTAAGGGTTTCTTTATCCCCTCTTTTTTCTTTCTTCTCTAGACGTGTGTGGGCCACGCTTATGAAAGTCCCTACAAAAATCCTTCACACATACGAAGATTTGAAGCACTTTTTCGTAAGATTTTTTACTGTCTATCTTATCTCCTCTACGTTCTTGATAGCCCATTTTTGTCTCAGTAGAGTCTTTGACTTAGGCATGTTTTCATCCTTTTTTCTCCTACTTAGAAAAAGTGAGTCATCTGTTACTATTTGAACTCCTTTAACTTGTAGGCATACATGTTGAATCTGCCGATTATGTTATGGATGAAGTCCTACTCACGAGGAGTAGTATACAAAGTACCAACCTACAGAACAATGAATTGATTGACTATTGAGCGCAATTTTCCCTTGATATTTAATATCATATTTTAAATGATTGTAGCATGTATAAATTTTAAAATAAGACAAGAGAACAATGGTAACCATCCAATTTAAAATTTAACATCATGTTTTAAATGATTATCACATGTATAAATTTAAATAGTATAAAAGAATCAATTATATATATATATATATATCTATATATATATACCTCAAAATTGAAGGGTGTAGAGCCTTTGAATGGTTTAGACTTGATTTAATATGACATGAACACAGAAATGATTGAATACACGCAATATCATTTTCATCTATGTTGGGAATTTATTGGTTCTCGTGAAGAGCAAACCGAGTAGATTTATTTCAAATGACAAATTGGGACATTTTTCGGCAAAGAGACAAAAATCTTGGTGCATTCGATTGTTTGATCTGAAATTTTGGTGGGCTATACAATTGCAACAATTTAACGGGTCTTTGAAAAGTCGACCCCATTTCTTCCCTTTTTCTTCTCCGCAACCGCAAGATCACATTTTCGGCTTCCCCTGTTCTGAGATTGATTCACCGACACAAGGTAATTAAACTAATCGTTCGTCTTCCTTCTGATTTTTCTTATTACAGTTCTGATTGGTTTTTCATAATGATATCCTGTGTTTCTGTGTTCTGGGGTTTGCTTGGTTTGATTTGCAGTGCTTGTTAATCAATGGGTTCTCTCTGTTTTTCTGCTTCCTCGCCTCTGTTTTTGCTTTGGAACTTTTGTCGGTGGCGGAATCGAATCTATTTTAGGTCTGAATGTCGAATGAAGTGAATTCGAACTCTGATTTTAGGTTTTATCTCTCTTGTTACACCCAGATCTATTTCTCTGTAAGTTTTGGTTGTAGAAGAATGGGGATTGTTTTGTTGAGTTCTTGATCAGAAAATGGAAGTTTATATTTACTTACATTGGCCTTTGGTACCAATCTGCTGTTTGGATTTTGACTATTTGAAACAAATAGAAATGGTGAAAGTGGAAGCTTATATTTAGTTACATTTTGACTGTTCGGATTTGGTTGAGTTCTTGATGAGAAAAATAGGAGACTAGATTTAGTAACATTTGCTTTTTGGTACTAATCTTCTTTCAATTGCCATCTGCTGTTTGGATTTTGACTGTTTGAAACAAATAGAGAAATGGTGAAGATCTGTTGCATTGGGGCTGGCTATGTTGGTGGCCCGACGATGGCGGTGATTGCTCTCAAGTGTCCCTCCATTGAGGTAGCCGTGGTGGACATTTCGGTTTCGAGGATCGACGCCTGGAACAGTGAACAGCTACCGATTTACTAGCCGGGCCTTGAAGATGTGGTGAAACAGTGCAGAGGGAAGAATCTGTTCTTCAGCTATGATGTTGAGAAACATGTAGGTGAGGCTGATATCGTCTTTGTTTCTGTCAACACACCAACTAAAACTCAGGGCCTCGGAGCGGGGAAGGCGGCCGATCTCACGTACTGGGAAAGTGCTGCTCGGATGATTGCCGATGTATCGAAATCCGACAAGATTGTGGTTGAAAAATCTACTGTCCCTGTGAAGACAGCTGAGGCCATTGAAAAGATACTGACCCACAACAGTAAAGGGATCAACTTTCAAATACTCTCAAACCCGGAGTTTCTTGCTGAGGGAACTGCTATTCAAGACCTTTTCAATCCCGACCGGGTTCTTATCGGTGGAAGGGAAATTCCAGAAGGATTGAAGGCGATAGAGAAACTCAGAGATGTGTATGCCCACTGGGTGCCCATGGAAAGAATTCTGTGTACTAATCTATGGTCTGCCGAGCTATCGAAACTAGCTGCCAATGCCTTTTTAGCTCAGAGGATCTCTTCAGTTAATGCCATTTCTGCTCTCTGCGAGGCAACCGGTGCAGATATCACTGAAGTGGCGCATTCGGTTGGTACGGATTCAAGAATCGGCCTGAAATTCTTGAATGCCAGTGTAGGTTTCGGTGGTTCTTGTTTCCAGAAAGACATTTTGAACTTGGTGTATATCTGTGAATGCAATGGCCTCCCTGAGGTAGCAAACTACTGGAAACAAGTCATCAAGATAAACGACTACCAGAAGTCCCGGTTCGTCAACCGGTTGGTTTCATCCATGTTCAACACTGTCTCGGGCAAGAAGATCGCCATCCTTGGATTCGCATTCAAGAAAGACACTGGAGATACAAGAGAGACACCAGCCATTGACGTGTGCAAAGCTTTGTTAGGCGACAAAGCGAGGCTAAGTATATACGATCCACAGGTTTCTATAGATCAAATCCAGAGAGACCTTTCGATGGAGAAGTTCGATTGGGAACATCCGATGAGCCCGACCACTATAAAGCAAGTAAGTGTCGAACGGGATGCATACGAAGCAACAAGAGATGCACATGGAGTGTGCTTCCTAACCGAATGGGACGAGTTCAAGAAGCTCGATTTCCAGAGGATCTACGACAATATGCAGAAGCCCGCCCATGGCTCGGGGACATGCCTGCTGTTGCTTAAAAGATCAAGTCAAATGCTGTGTTGACAGTTATTAGGAAAACGACCAGTGTTCTTGTTCATCATCTTTTATTTATTTATTTACTTAAAAAAGATCTTTAGGTATTGATGGTTATTGTAGAAATTAGTATTTGAACAGAAAAAAAAAGGAAAAAGGAAAAAAGAAAAAAGAGAGAGATATAGTCGTCCTTTGATTATAAGATTATTACTACAGAGAATGTTGTGTGAGGGCAAGGCCTAAAATTTTATATGGATTAATTGTTTATTTGGGTCTATTTGATAATTATTTTATTTTTAATTTTTATAATTTAATTTTGTAAACATATTAATTTTTTTCGTATATTTATTTATTTTGGTATCTATATTTTAGAAATATTTTTAAAATCTAAGTTAAATTTTAAACATTTGAATATGCGTTTTAAGAAATTTGACTAAAAATTAGCCCTCACTAGTTATTACTTAATTCAGCCAGCATAAATACCATAATTGACCCAACTAAAAAATCATGCAATAAATAGCCCAACTAAAAATTAAATTAGTAAAAATTACACACATAATAGAATTAATTATTAAATGGAGGAAGACATTACTTACCTCTTTAATATTATTATACTGAATATTAAATTATAACATTTGAAATCAAAATTTAAAATTTTAAAAGCAAAAACAAACATGAAAATTCAGATATCATAATCAAATAAATTTGCCTGAATGAAACTAGTATCCATCGTTGTTTTGATTTGTGGAGAGCGGAATCCACACATGAATGCCATCTCTCATTAAATATTGTTTTTATTTTATTTTACTGAATCGGAGATAGAGAGAGATGATTATGTTCGGGAGAAATTTGTAGAGACCAACCAAAAATGCAATAAAATTGTCTGACTTATCAAAACTAAGGCCTTACTTTATTTAGTAAAAGGGAAGTTTTGAGTTATAATATTCAATATTGACCTTTCAACCATATACAAAGTTCAATTCTAATAATAATTATTATGCTTATGAAAGTAACATTTTGTTTCCTTTTTCGAAAAATAAAAAATAAAATAAAAAGTTGTCGTTTTGGCCCCATTGATTAATTAGTTGATTAACTTTAAAATAATTCAGGACTAATGACCCTCCTTTATTAAAGTGCAACTTTGATATAATTAAATTTGTAATTACAAGATTTGATTAGTTAACTTTTCTTTCTTTTTTTTCTTGTTGGGATTTAAAAAGTTGTGATGATAAGCAAGTGAGATATTTTGTGTATGACAAATGACATTGGCCTATGCTTTCCCTCCACTTGCCAAAAGTTGAAATCTTCAAAATCCCTTGAATTGACAATGTGGGGTACTAATGCTTATAATACAACATATAATATGTAATTTTGTTAATAAAAATTTCAACTAAATTAAACACTTTGTTTAATTAGATTATATGGGACACATTGAGCAGACGAGTTCACGTTAGAACGAGAGAAGTTTATGGAACCGTGCATAAGTGAGAACAACGTCTACTAAAAAGACTTGGACCAGTTTAGTAGAGACAATATTCACATTCAAAAGAAAGTTAAAAATTATAACAAAATGTTTTTTTAATTGAGTGTGAGTGTAACTAATTCCAAGATCAGATTTATAAAATATTAAGTACATCATTCGAAATTTTGAAATGAATAAAGTATTTAATATTTTCATTCCTAGTTAAGATAAGAGAATTATGAAACCAATTTAGAACAAGTCCATAATTGTTGTTATGGGTCGGGATGTAGGTGATTATGGATCGGTCGGGTTAGACGTGAAAAATTAATTAATTAATGAATTGGTTGGTTGGGTTGGTAATGT